GACCAGCACCGATCGTCTGGCACTCCCCAGTGAGTTGAACCCAGTACCTCAGTTGAAAATGCAGAAATCACCGGTCTTCTGTGTCGCTCGCGCTGGGAGTTGGAGACTGGAGCTGTTCCTATTCGGCCATCTTGCTCCGCCCTCCTTATTAGGGAAATTTTTAAAATATAGTCCTGAGTGGCGCACACACTCCCAGTGTATCTTGGGACAAATCACACGGTAATCCCACCTCACTGCCGCAGTCACTCCTGAGTTGTTTTAAAACAGATCAATTCAAGTTAGAATAAGCTTGAGAGACAACCTGGAAGGGAAAACAGGTCACTGAAAGCAGTGTACCATCGGTGGGGTGGCCCTCTTTGCTTTGAGGGTGGTGTGAGGCACAGCAGGAGAGGTGCTGGTGGCATCTACAGAGCTTCATAGCTGCCCTCGTTCCCCTGCTTGCCTGGGTGCCCCCGGGGGATTTTTTTCCTGAAATCTCAGAGCCATTTCTGTTGTGTCACTTTTGGAATCATGGGAATAGTAGTGCCACCCAGACCACCTTCTATTCTATTTTGCCATTTTAAAAACCAGCTTGTTGAGATCTAATTCACATATCATGCAGTTCAGCCATATGAAGTATACAAGTCAGTGTTTTTGGTCTCTTCATTAGGTTATGCAACCATTACCACAATCAAATTCTATAACATTTCATCCCCCTTTAAACAGCCTGCCAATAGTCAATCCCCCTTCTCCCCGTCCACCCCTCAACTCTAAACAACCACGAATCCACTTTTTGTGTCTATGGACCTGCCCATTCTGGACATTTCATATAAATAAAATCATCCCATATGTGGTCTTTGGTGGCTGACTTCTTTCTCTTAGCATGTTCTTAAGGTGCCTCCATGTGTAGCCCATATCAGTATTCCATTTATTTTCATTGCCAAATATTCCACTGTACGGATAGACCAAATTTTGTTGGTCCATTCATCTGTTGATGGACATTTGAGCTGTTTCCACTTTTGGTCACTGTGAATATTGCTGCTGGGAACGTTTGGGTCCTGTGTGGCCATTCACTCATGTGACTTCAGTCTAGTAAAGTACACAGACTTCCCATGGCTAAGATGCAGCGGAAATCTTGGTGCTTATGTTCTGTGAGAGTGAGAGAGGGTCTGGAAACATTTCTTTATGATGGCCTAACAAGAAAGTTGACACCAAGATATTAATTTTAAATTTATAATTTAGTTTAATTTAGTAATAGAGCCACACAAGTACATTATAGTCAGGGAAGAGAAAGAAAAAAATGCCAGGAAAATTATTTTACCAATGATCCACCTGCTCACTTAGCCCCGGCACGGGAGCAGCACGTATACAGGCACACGCTTCACGCACTTTCCTTTCTTCCCTCCCTTCCTGCCAGTTCAACTGTCCCAGCTTTCGGCTTCTGAACCATGGGTGATGGGCAAGACCAACAACCAGAAAGAGGAAGCCAAACCCAGAGTCAGAGCCAGGGCCAGGACACAGCCACTGCTGCTGGATTGGAAATACTGGAAGCCATCCTTGGGCCATTTGGAGATGTTAATTAGGCTGGCTAATTCCCACTGGCCTTGGGTTGCCAGTGTTGAGTGTGTGGGCTTACCCCATCCACTGCCTGCACCTGTTCCCTTCCTCAGAGCCATTCCAAGGGATCTGAATAGCCCAGACAGCTCTCTGATCTCCCACTCTGTCCGCCTTCCTGCTGGTAGGATATTTAGCACTTGCCTAAAGCTGGAGCCCTAGTCCACTCTTTCTCTCCCTCATCCATGCCAGCTCTCCAAATAATTCTCTTTCCTAATTATCTTGAACCAGCTAATCATTTTCCACACTGACTGTTCAGTAACCAGGATCCAGGGACAGGCAGCCGCGTTTCTTGTCTGACCCTGCCCAGCATCATCCCAGGTGGCAGCTCTGGATGACAGCCTTTCCTCAGAGGCAAGAAGCTTGGTTCAAAGCCTTGCTCTCTTGCTATCCCAGTGAGTACAGCTGGAGAAAGCATGCCATAGAAAGGCCCACCAGTTCCTGGAGCGCCTCTGCTAGGCGGAGCCGCACACAACACAACACATCTCCAGCCAGCCTCTTGTTTCCTGTCCTGCTTAAAATCCCTGTTGATATCCAGAGTATCAGAGAAGTCACACGAGGCGGAGGAAGCAAGACATCTTTCTTCAAAAGTGACTTCTGGATTCCTCCAGCTCAACTCTGCGTCTGAGCCGCCAGTTGGCCACAGTTTGGCCTTTTGGTGTCTGAGTTAAACCGTTAAGGGCTGTCCCTGAGGAGTCTTGATCAACTGCTCTTAGATATGAGTGGGGCTGGCTTCGGTTCCCAGCCCCACAAATAGGTAAAAATGATTTCGAATGTAAAACACACATTAACCCTATAACCCAGTGTCACAACTTTTTTTTTTTTTTGGGCGGGGGGGACAGAGTTTCACTCTGTTGCCCAGAATGTTGTGCAACGGCACCATCTTGGCTTACTGAAACCTCCACCTTCCCAGTTCAAGCAATTCTCCTGCCTCAGCCTCCTAAGTAGCTGGGATTACAGGCACCTGCCACCACACCCAGCAGATTTTTTAATATTTTTAGTAGAGACAGGGTTTCACCATGTTGGCCAGGCTGGTCTTGAACTCCTGACCTCAGGTGAGCCACCGAGCCCGGCTGTCACAACCTTTTATCCATTATCACCCCACGTGGAACCTTCTGAGAGACATTTTGGTTTCCTAATTGGTCCCCTCCCCTGAAACAGCATAGAAACGCCGTCTGTCTGTTTACTTACAGTACTTATACCTGTGCTGTACACATATAAAGAGTAGGCTATTTTGCCACCCCAAGGGGTGATATCCCCTCATTAGACTGCATGCTGTAACTTTTCTCCCAGATCCCCCAAAGGCAGCAGTTTCATCTGCTTTAGTAACCACTGTAACCCAGAGCCGAAAACAGTGCCTGGCACATATCTGCTGCCCATTTGACAAAGGGATAGGACAGTTAGGCTTTGTGTCTCTCCCCTATCCCTGCCAGGCGTCAGGTCCCTCCTGGCCTCTTCCCACCCCCCATCTCCAAGCACATTGCCCTCCAGGTGCCCTCCGCACTGCCCAGGTTGGTCAGTGCCCTGTGCGTACCCCAGAGATGTATCAAGAAGCTGACAGCTTACTCCTCTGCTCCATGACTGGAACCCCACCCTTTGGGAGCACTGCCATGTGTCAAGGGCAAGTGACATTTGAGCCCTATGGAATAATCAAGGCAGCCCCCAACTGTCTCTGTCTTTGCATCTCCTTAACTCAACCATGGATTGGCAGTTACTGAGACATTCTTTGTGGTCCAGCACTCCACACCAGGCTGCGTCTGGGGACACACAGGAGAGGGGCAACCCAGTCCTCATCAGCAATTACAAACAAGTCCTCCATTGTTAGCTGCGCCATCTGCTTTCTTGGTTTCTACCAATCGGGTGCCTGTACACACAGCATAACCAGGGCTGAGGGGCTGCAGAGGAGTGAGATCAAGGAGCCTCTTCATAAAGAGACCCTTTGCTCACACTGGAGGGTGTCAGTGGCCTGGTGCTCTAAAAGCCAAACTTCCTCAACTCAAGGAAGACCCACGCAGATATGCTCTGTTTGCCCTCTTCCATGAGAGGAAATGGGGGCCCTACAGCACAGTGCACTGGGGGGAATCAGAAATCTAAATGATTACATCTTCCAGAGGATCCACGGAAAACATTCTAGTTTGTGACCAACAGTCAGCAGCAGCCCAGAACCTCTTGTGCCCAAAGAGCACAACCAAGTGTGGAGAAAGAACGGCGTTCACGGTGGGTGGGAGTCGGACCGAGTGTGGAGAAGGAATGGTGTTCACGGTGGGTGGGAGTCAGACCAAGGATCATACACGAGCCACAGTTATTGATCCAGAATCTCCTAACCCCAAATAATTTTCTTGGGAGAAAGGGACAATTTTCATCAATAGATTGGAAAAGATGTCTCCATAGCAGTGCACATTTCTTTCATGAGCCTTGGCTAAGAGAATGTTAGTGGTCTCCTCCTGATGGCTGCTGGAGCCACCATCTTAGAAGTTTGCCCCTGTCACTGTGCCAACCTTGGCAGAGGGGGTCAGCAGGAAATCCGTATTTACAACTGTGGCTGTGCAGAGAATGGTCCACGTCGCTGATTAATGTCCTTTGTCCGGATTTGATGGTTGTCTAGTGACACAGAATTCAGGAGAGTTGGGGGGGCTGAGAGTTCAGGAGAAGCTACTACCTGCTGCAGAAAGAGGATGCATTCACCAAGGAAACCCCACTGTAGAAAATAGGATGGTGTGGAAGGGGTGGAAGAACCTGTCACAAAGCATAGAAAAGCTAAGATCCCCCTCAGTGCTGGGTGACTGCTGAGACCCTGCTGCTCTGTGGGTGAGAGTGACCTTATGGTCCAATTTTCCCACTCCAGGGTCCCCTCCCAAGCTTTCCTCTGCACAGGATGCTGTGTGTCCCCTCCCTGAGGACTGTCACATTGCAGGTGACACCAGTATTAACACACTGTGTGTAACTCAGAAACCTGTAAAATGAAACTTGGAGACATGTAAACTTGCCCACCTAGGGGGTTTCAATTATTTTTTCAGGTCATCCATTGAATTTCAAATGCCTGTCTTGAAAACACTTTTATCTTTGTCTTTTAAACAAAATCAGTCAGGAAAAGTTGGAGAGCAGGAAAAGGATATAGCTGTCAGTGCGGTCCAGCATCTGTAGGGCTTCTGACAGGGTCTGCATGCATAGACCCTGGGAGTGTTAATGTCTCTCTCATTTCACATTTGCAAACATGACATTGGCTTCTATTTTGTCCTATCAAGTAGCATTTTCAAGTGAGTTTTCAGTTTTTACTGATTGACAAGGCTGCAAAACTGCTTGGGCAGCTCAGGGATAAATGTATTATTAGCACTGTGTTAATGATCAAGTTGGAGCTGTGGGCTGCTGTGTATGTATTCACTCGATTTTGTGTTCTTTCCCTTCAGATTAAAACACGTAAAGGTCTCATTACAATATTTGAGCAAGGTAAGACAGACACTTCAGTGGATTTGTCCAGCCACCCTGCTTTGGGGAGGGGGTGGGACTTTTCTAACCGGCTGCCCTCGGTAGCGGACCCTGCATCGGTGCTCCTCGCCCTCCTGGGCCTTCCCCTCCCGAGCGGCCCTGCCCGCACTCCTGCCCCTGCATGTCTGCGCTGCCCGGGGAAGCCCAGCCTTGCCTTTCTTCTGCCCGTGCACTCGGGGGAGAATCCGACACCAACACCTGCTATCCCGGAAAATGTCTTTGTCACCTACCCTTTTGTGTGTGGGGCTGTAGGGAGCCGGTGGGCACGGGGGCCACCCCCTTTTTTGTTGCCCAGGCCTAGAGGAGCAGGGTCTTGAGATGGGCCGATAAGACACGGCACGTGCTGGGCCGGCCTTTGGCCGCCAGCCTTAATGGAGGCCTCTGAGGCTTCCACGCGGGGAGGGCAGGTTGTGGCGGGGGCTGCTGAATGGAACAGCTGGGGAAGGAAAAGCAGATAAAAGCTGCGGAGTGCAGAGGGTGGAGACCCAGGGATGCGCTGCGGTCTAGGACCCAGAGGATAGGCTGGCCATGGCAGATGTGACCTCCCCAGCCCGCCTTTCTGTCCTGGGTCTGGGGTCCAGGCCCTGCCTACGGCGCTCTGATGGATGGTAGCTGCCTTGGCAGGGCTGTCTGAAAACCCTGTCCCGTGTGGCCCGGGCTGCACCACCTCCCAGGCTCACAGGTGAAAGGCAAGCAGTTGGTAATGACAAGAATCATGGCAGTGCCCTTCACAGGAGAAAGCAAGTGAGCGAGCTGTCGTTCATGAGCCTGTCACCCACAGTGGAATGCAAAGCACAGAACCAGTCACTTTGTCTCCGTAAATATGGAAGTGGGATGTTAGGGTCCAAATTTGTTGGTTTGTCCAAACCTTCACCCTCCTCTGCCAGGCAGGGCTGTTGGACCTGCAGGCCAGAGGAGCAGCCGGCGCCACAGCCAGCCGACCCTCCAGCCAGCTGCCCTTTCTCTTCCCCTCACCCATGGCTTAAGCCCAGGCCTGGTATTGTCCCAAACTGGGCTCACTTGTGTCAGCCCCAGCAGGTGACACGAGCCTCAGAGCCCAGGTGCTCATGTCAAGATGGGGCAGAAGAGGGCTGTACGGTCCCCTCTGAGCAGGGCACTTTGCTGCAAAACTTTGCATTTGCTGAGACCCCCATGTCCATGCATGTTCTCCTGCTCCTGCCGTCAAAGTCGGGAGGTGAGGTTCGAGTGTCCTGTGAATAAATCCATGGCTTCTATCACCGGGAAGAGGCAGTGCGAGTGGAGCCACAGCTGCGAGTGGACGTGTCGTATCAGGAAGGCGGCCCTACCTTGTGTCCTGCCTACCCGTCCAGCATCTGCCACCTCCCCACCGCAGGATGCTGTGGCACGAGGGCCCAATGCAGATGAGAATGTCCCAGCGGAAAGCTGGGGACCAGAGGCATGTGTAGGGCACTGTGGCACTGGCTCCAGCCCAGCTGCAGGGGTGGCTTTGCCCTTTGCCCCTGGCCATGGGATCCCTGCTTTCAGGTGCACAGGCCCCCTTCTCTGCAGAGCTTCCTGCACTTCTCCAGGCTCCCTCAGCGGGACAAAGCTGGCGTCCTTCTGTCCATCTGCAGGAACTCGTGGTGCACCCTCTTTCCCTCTTTATCTTCCCTGGGTGAGAGGGTGGGGCAGAGGAACTAAAATGTTTTCCTTCAAATCCAGAATTAGCAAAGGTTCGCGCTTTCTCTTTGGATCTCACTTTATATCTTTCATTTACTTGCTTTTTCTTTTTTTTTTGGCTCCTTTATTCTAATCCATCTGATCACCATAGTGGGCTGGGTTGTTGGAATATTGTCTGGGATTAAATCAAGTCTGTTCTCCCACGCTGCCCCGTACCCTGGATTAAATGCCAGTGCCCACCACCAGCTACAAGGGGATGGAGAGATGCCTCGTAACAATCCAGCTTCTCTTGTGGATGATGGGCTAGCTGTGCTGCCTTTGTCAGAAGCAGCCTGTTTTTGTGTTCTGGGGTTCTTCTAGTGTGGTGTTTTTTTTGAGACTGGGTCTGACTTTGTCACCTAAGCTGGAGTACAGTGGTGCTATCACTGCAGCCTTGACCTCCCAGGCTCAAAATCCTCTCACCTCAGCCTCCCAAGTAGCTGGGACTACAGGTGTGCACCACCACGCCTGGATACGTTTTGCAGTGTTTTTGTAGAGCTGGGGTTTCACTATGTTTCCCAGGCTGGTCTGGAACTCCTGGGCTGAAGCGATCCCCGCACTGCGCCCGGCTGCAGCCTGTTTTAAAGATGAGAGTAGTGGGCCTGTCTCTGTTTGCCCGACCTTACCGAGCCGAGAAGAAGGGAGGCAACAGTGAAGCCCCTGGACTCTGAAAGTACTGAATTTCAGAACACCCTGAGCCAGGTTACTTCCATAGGTCCAAGCATGTTTGCAAGTGTTGATTTTGGAAACTCTTCCTAGAAACAATAAGGTAAGTTCAGAGAATGAAAAAAGATGCTGTCTGTGAATACAATAACCTACTTAAATTAATTTCAAATGCCACTAATAATAATACTTTCAAAGGCCAAAGCCCTGCAAGTGAATCATGCAGGGAGGAAGATGTGGAAACTCTGCTTTTGAGGTTTGTTCCCAGCAGAGGTCATGCAGGAAACTTGGGGCACAATACAACAGGGTTTAAAAATACGCTACAAGGGGAAGGGTGATGAAACGATCCTCTCGCTGGCAGAACAGCCCTAGGGGAGACCCAGCTCCACCCGCAACAGTGGCTCGGTGTTGCAGCAGGCATTCTTGTATTCCTCTGAGCACGCCGACGGCAGCCCTGGGGAAGCGCGGGATGCAGATGCACAGGTTTTAATTTTATTCCTTTTCCCTCCGGTGCTGAACAGCTGTATGCTCATCTGGACTCATTCAGACAAGCAATTTAGTCCTGACCTCTAGTCTTAGGCCCTTTGGGGAATAATTGAGTTGTAACTCATTGTGTAGAATATTGATATGTAAACAAGTGGAGATTCCAGGAACACCGCCAGGGATCTGCAGAGCGTCCTCTGAAGTTTCACGGGCTTTTCCATTGACTCCAGCCACTGCTTCTTCAGTGGCTCTTCCTCCCTTTCACTATGACCAGATGCCTTTTCTCTTCATTCTTTACTTATGAATTGGACAGTAAGTCTGAATTAATTTCACAAGATCCATAGCTTCTTTTATGCTGCAGAAAAGCCCAGAGCAAAGAATAAGAAGAAAGACATTCATGTATTTATTCATTCAACAAACATCTTTGCCGGCATAGCGTGGGAGGAGATCACCAGACCCTTCTCCTGGGAATTTCCCTCCCTTCCGAGTGCCACAGATCCTCCCTGAATTGTGTGGCCGTAGAGCCTCCATTGCCTCCATGACTTAGCAGTTCTCTGCTTCCTTTGCAGGGGCCCTGGCCTCCAGTCTGAGTGCTGACCTCGAAGAGCCCCTGAGTGAGGAGGAGACAGAACACCCTCTCCTGCCTCTGCCCCGAGCCACTAAACCCAGAATCTCCAGGAAATTTCATTGCTGTACTAGTGCCCTCAGCAGGTCTTCCCATTAGTGGACTTCTGAAGCCCATGGTGAATCCCACTACAGCATCTCTGATGGGACTCAAACTAGGCTGTATCATCTTGTCCTGAAACCTCACAAACCTTGGACTTCCAAAGAAGAAACGAAAAAGTCACCAAAAACCAGAGATGAACCCACTGTCACATGGGCATTGGTGTGGCTGCTCTGGGCAGATCACAGCAGGAAAAGATTCTGCGCTTTCAGGGAGGGGCGGAGGGCAGCTGGCTTCTGCACCCCAAGTTGTTTCTTCTCATTTATGAACCCAAGCGTGATTCACAGAGGGGCTGGCGAAACCATTGTCTGACTGAGGAATTCTATCTGCATTGATTTTGCTAGTTCCTTTTAAGTTAGGATTTATGATTTACTCAAAACTTTCATCATCGTGGAAATTGGCTTTCCCCAGGGTCTTTTGCCCAGGAGATGTTTTACCTCAGTTGTCCAGTGTTGTTCCACCTGGTACCTGACGCCCTCTAACTGAGCAAGGTTCTGCTCACCACGCAGAGGCCCTTCAGGTCGTGACAGTGATGCCCGTATCTTAGAACACTCAGAAGATTCCAGAAATACAGGGTCCTGTCCTTGCATAAGTTCCTGCAGGACAGGAAGTGTCCTAAGGCTCAAAACAGCACAGACCACATCCACACAAAAGGCGCATGCCAGCTTCAGGCGCTAGGCTGAGCCGGGCACCCCCCGGATGGCCTTGTGCCTCCAGAAGCCTCACGCTGCAACTTGGCTCCTATCTGTTGCCCAGAGAGGCCTCAGACAGGCCTCGGAAATGTTTCTTGTCACACAAAGCTTTTGGTAGCAGATTCCAAGCAAGGGATTTAATCCTTATATTTTTGCCCATTTGGCTCCAAGGAAGGCACATTAGACCTGTTTTTTTTTTTCTTTCTTTCTTTCTTAAAAAAATGAATGAATTAATTAATGAATGAAAGAAAAGAGAAGCAATGGTAAGCCCTCTCCTGCTGCAGGGCACTGGGTGGGCCCTGCCCGTCCTGCAGCAGAGAAATCAGTCAGCAGTGAAGAGCTGCTGGCACGGACCCCGGGCTCTGCCCTGGACCCTTGACCTGCCTCAGAGCTAGAGGTTTGCTCCACCCCGCACTTCACTTGGGAAGTAAATCCGAGAAACTCATCAAAGTCAATCCCCACTGCGCAGGCTTTGTTCTCACAGTGGCTGGGGACAGAGCAACGCCCTGCAGTGGGAAGAGAGAGCAGCACGAGAGACGCAGCCCCTAACTCGGCGTATGATGGGTGGGCCAGTCCTGGGAAAGGTGGGCCCTGTGCATGAGGTCTCCCTGCTGTCCTCTGCCCTCTGCCCTCTGCCCTTGCACACACTTGTTACCTTCAGGCTGCTTGGCCACCCAGGCCTGAAGAAGCTTTCTGAGGCTCTTACCCCATCAGAGCGGCCATTTTCACTGAGGAGCCAGTGTTTTCCATTAGCTATTGAGCTGGTTTGGCTGGAACCTGGCCTTTGTAGAGAGAACGGGAAGACCCAGGAGCCAGACTCACTCTTGGGACAAATGAGAAAGGGCTGAGCCAGTCATTCTGTCAGAAGGGCGGGCCTGCTCATCCTGGAGAGAATTTGCTTTTCTGCTTTATAGGGGATTGCAGGTAGCACTTGAGGCCAGGCCACTGACAGGAGCACCTTGAGAATCACCTGAACACAAGAGAATGAGGGTGCCCCAAAATGGAAGGAAGCTTCCAGCCCCTGGGCTGTTTTGGGAAGGGCCCAGGGTACTCACCGGGCCTGAAGGGCAATGTGAAGAGGGACTGCAAGTCCTGACATTTTCTGTGGTGTCAGCAAACGCCCCTTTATTTTAAATGATTCCAGACTTCTGGGCCGTGTCACTTGGCCACCGTCACTCAGGTTTGATCCTGCTGTTGAGCTGCTCCTGTCTCCTGTTTACCTCACTCCTGTTGGGAAGGCCATCGCATGCTCCTAGGCTCCAGAGTCCCCTGTAGGTCTCTACCAGCAGGTCGCCTCTGGGAGAAATTTCATCTTCAGGCACTAGAAGCTCCTGTTGCGGAATTCCTGGCTGTAGTAGAAAAGATATGTCAGGATTTAGAAATCGTATTTAACTCTCCTGGACTTCTGTTCCATGATTTCATTTTGCTTCCACGAACCAGCCATCCCGACCTTGGGGTGGGAAATTCAGTGGTAGGCAGCAAATAACTCAACCTTCCTGTAACCCCTGAGGACCTCATGACCCCAGATGACAGCCAGCAGTTTGGTGAGTGGAGTTTTTTTTGAGCCCGCCATTCTCGGTAGCAGCCTTGGTCTGGAGATTTGGAATGTGGAGCCGGGAATCTGACAGCCACGTTTCTCATGGTCACATGGACTGGAGTCGTTTTTGTTATTTGGGGTGGAAAATTGCAATGATCAAGCTTCTTTTTTTTTTTTTTTTTTTTTTTTTTTACTTAGAAAAGCAAATATTGTGTTTTTGTAATAAATCCCTTTCAGCAAAATTGCGGCGGATCATTCATCCAGCAGGGCCCCACCTGAGGCACAGCGCCGACTCATCACGGTGGTACCAGTGGGTCAGCCATCTGGAAACAGAAGTGGCCCTAATTGGGCCAAAATGTGGTAAGACTCGCTGGCCTCAGGCAGGGCCAGGCCAGCTCCCTCACTTCTCTGCGCACCTGTTCCCAGAGTCCATCCAGAGCAAAGCTGATGTTTATAGTCTCATTGTACTTAGGCTTTTGTACTTTAAAAAATTATGACTTTTTAAAAATAATCAAGCCTTCAGCAGACAGAAGTGAAGAAATTTAGCCTGGGTTGCCTCAGCCACAAAGTCTGCAGTTCCTAAGAGCCACATGTTGGGAAAGTGGGGTGACCCAAACTTGGTGACATGGGTTGATTGATCAGACCCTTAGCCTTACAAGCAAGAGCTCATGCAGATCCACAGACCCCTGCACATCCTGTCTTCCTGACCTTCCTCAGGTGGCACCACCTGCGCCCCATGGACCTGCTGTATTGGTGTCATGTGGAGGTCTGATGAATCCTTTAAAACCTAACTGTGATGTCGTAAATGTAACTGTGCTACCTTTATATCTACTGAAGGGGAACGTCTGCATCCAAGGGAGATTCAACAGGAAACAACCATCGTTTTAGTTGCACTCAGTCTGTCAGTATGACATACACATGAAATGAATGTTTCCCGATGTTTTCAGGTCTACAATGTTTAGTACATGTAAATAAGGAAAAAAATTGATAAATACGGTAAATTAAGTTATAGCGTGTCATTTGATTCTTATTTTGCTGTCTCTTGTTATTTAATTTTCCTAATGCTCCACATCTAGGTTCCTTCCTAGGTGGTAGGAACACCTTGCAGACGTGTGTGCGCCAGGACACACCACGGCACAGGCAGCCACAGCGAGAAAGCACACATCTCCGCAGATGGCAGCCACCCGACTCTCCAGTTAACCTCTTTTACTCTTTAATTCTGATTTACTGTGATGATTTCATAAAGTGGAAACACAGCACTTCAGTGCTATATGTTTCTGTCATTCTCATTATAGTTTATAAGAAAATAAAGTTTACCCTGGCATCTAATAAAGAGGTGGTTTTCATTTTTATTGGACAGAATTGTTTGAAAGCATATTTTAACTAAAACCTAAACATGTATCCAAAATGGTAGCTGGTACCTGTGCGGGGAAGCTTACCAACGTGTTTATGCAAAATTGACCTCATTTCCTAACATGGAATGCTGAGATCCAGTCACAGGAGGCTCTGAATCCAAGCATCATGCGTCTAATCTACTTAAATCGCTTTCTCTCTTCATGAGTAAAGGGCTGGGTCAGTATCGCCTGCTACCATAACATCCATCCGAGCCCGCAATGAAATGTGCCCCTTGCTCCGTCTCTCCAGGGCAGCCCCTTTCTAGCGGTCAGGAGCCCCTGTCCCTGGTGAACAGGAGGCAGCGTTAGAGGTGAGTAAGTGATAGGATGTGATACGGTCTCCTGTTGGTGTGGCTGAAGCCAGCTGATGCCCGTCTAAGGACTCCAGCCATCTCATGACAGCCTGGCCGGGTGGCCTCTACCAGCATTGCAGGCTACTCATGCGCTAGGCAGCAGTGACCTTTCGGGTCATTGTATTAGAAGTCTGCAAAAATCATCCATTTGTCCAGTTAGCAAATATTTTTTGAGTACCTAATACTTACAAAACATGACTGTGACCTCCCAAATGGTCTGGATGCCTTCTTGGGAGTCAAGCAGACCCTACATTCAATGTCTAGCTTTTCACTGATAACAAGAGCTTGCTTAATGGTACGTCCTGCTTCTAATACTTGGTACCTCATCGAATGAAGCTTGATGTGGAGTTTTAGAGCTTTGTGGCCTGGATGCAGTGGGTCCCACCCTGTGCATCCGCAGCGGTGAAGAATCTTCGTAAGTCAAATGCAGGTTCCTGGCTGCTGCCGACTCTGACCTACCAGGTCTGGGCTAGAACCTCAGCATCTCCACTTTTTAAAGCTACCCAGAGGACCTGCAGGTAGATCTGGGTTGAGGGGCTGGGCCAGCCCCCTCGGGAATGGTCTGGGCAGCTCATCCCCCACCTGCACTGAGGGAACATCGGAGAGCACTCCCTGCAGGACAGCTCTTCGCTCTACAGCTGCTCCCAGGAGCTGTGTTTCTGCCGCTCACTAATGACTCGGCGTCATAGGTGATAGGTCAGCTATGGAAATGGTTATTTGAAATTCAAAGGATGTTTTTCTCAAAGTCTTAAAACAGTTTACTTTTTTATATCCTTGTTTTTGTTTTCACCAAATCGTTTTCTCTGCTACACTTTTTATTTGTGGCAGAATGATGACAGGGTGGGGAGACATTCCAGCCCATCATGCCTCCTATAAGTGATCAGGTCACCTTAAGAAAGTACTCATCAAATCTTGGGCCATATTAAGCAAAACCTTCAGCAGAATTCCAAAGAACAATACAACTTCCAGTGCTTCCAAAAGGACCATTGCTACAAGGCCCTGATAGGTCTTTTGGGGCTTCTGCTAGGTACCAGAATTGAAAGCAAGAATATTTTTAAGGTACACCTAACCATAGTCTAATTCTCTAAGTGTTCCAGGAAAAAACGCTAGTTATTTATGCCTCCTGCAGTGAAGCGTGTCTTCCAGCGAGAGGCTCACACACTGATATTTGTTCACTTCAGTACATATTCAAGCTAGTATTACGGTGCTGTGTATGTGCAGAAACTAAATTGAGGCCACTTTGGTTTATTAAACCGTTTATGTCAAGGGGCACTATTATCATTTGCTCTTTTGTCTATACCTGGAAATGGTTTTAGTTGCATTTCGTTTTTCAAACCAAAAAGTGAAGGCCACGGAAATGGAGCACAAAGTAAACTCTGTCCCTGCATATTTGGTTTACTCAAGGCACGGATCTGCAGCTGGAAAGGTCACCCTCACCCCCTCAGTCTGACCACCTACTTCTACGGGTATGAAAACCAAGGCCTGAAGACGTTGGCTCACTGAGATTCACAAGGTCAGAAAGTGAGGCTCCAGGCAGGAGATCAGTTTCCTAGTTCCCACTTCTTGATGACACCCCCATTTAGCAGCAGTCACCGTTCTTCACCAGTGCATGGACTGTTTATTGAAAGCAATGTTTTGGTCACTCTAAAAAGGTCCCCTAATGCCAAGGCTTAGGCTACCCTGAGCCTGCTGTCGTAGGGACCAGGCCCAACACAGACCAAGGGCTTCGAGTGTGGGAGAGCTTGTTTTAACAAGAGACTTACCTACTCTCCCTGCATGCAGACACGGAAACGGTGGAGTTAACCTCTCTCCATGGCTCTAGAAGCCATGGACTGGAACCTCTGGAAAGAAAAGTTGCTCGTCTTCAACTCTGAAAAATAGACTTTGAGGTCAGAGCACGTAGCCAAAGCAGGGTTTTCATGCTTGGTGTGATGCCCAGGCAGGTGAGCCACGCTCCGGAAGGCCACAGTCTGCTCTCTGCACTCAGACATCTACGTGTTTACCAAGCATCTGCTACAATTTGGCCAAAATTGTCTCGTTTCTCTCCTGAAAATGTTTTCTGTTTTGGGAGTTTGAGACAAAAGATAATGACATATCAATCAATGTCCTCCCATGCCACAAGAACCACCCTTGAGTGGAGTAGAATGAGACTCGCTTCCGAAACCGAGGTCTGTTCTTAGCCTGCTGCAGATTCAACCCCATTTTCACCCTCAGAGAACATGACAAGACCAGCCAGCAGCCCAGCCAGGCAGGACATTTCAAACAGTAGTGATACCCTCTCTGCCCTCAAGGTGCTCTCAGATCTGCCCCCAACACACACAAACAGCAGTGACAAAAACAGGAGGAACTCTCCAAAATGACACTTTCTGAATTATAAGGAAAAAACAGCTGGAATTGGCGATTGCTTCATTTTTGTCATTGTCAGAATTTTAAGTTAAAAGTATTTTAATACCTAAGTGTCCTAAGTTGGATAAGATGGGGGCAGTGAGACATTTATAATAAGCTGTCACATCAGGCAGTATTCGTCTGGAAGATCCTGTGTTTCACAGAAGGAGAGTGAGAAAGTAGGTCCCAGCCAGTATCCTCCCTCCGTACCATGTCAGACATGGACCACGCTGATCAGATTGTTGCTATTTATATCAAGGTATTCCTGCCTCAGATATCAGAGAGCATTATGTATGTGGTCAAAATTCTATTCTAACATTATTTTGGGAAAGAAAGAATAAATGCATAAATTATCTCTGGAACAAGAGGGCACTTTTTATGTGTCCAGGTGTCATTGCTAATCTTCCATTTGTGTACCCCCCGCCCCCGTGAAAATGCTTGTTGAGTTTGACATGGAATATTTTCCATGAAGAGGTCAGAGCCGTAGGCTTCCTCCTTAGCGTGGGGTCCTTAGGGCCTGGAAATTGGAGTGTGCTTCTCACTGAGGGCGTGAAGTGGGAAGGGGCTTGCTATTATAGATCCTGAAAGGATCTTTTTGACTTTAGAAAATAGCCTGGCAAAGAAAAGCTTTTTTCCGTGAATACTCAGGGACTGCATTATGCCCCTCAGATGATAGAGGAGAGTACTTTTGATCAATATTCCCTAAGAAATGGCCGCTGGGCTAAGTGCAGAGGGCCTCAATAGCAGTCTCCCTCCCGCCCGACCTGCAGAGCATCTGCGGCAAATCTCTCAGAGCAGTGGGAACCAGCGAGGGCGGTACATTAATGGCATCATCTTCTCCTTTTAAAAAAATGTCACCCCATTTTGTCCTCCATGTTGATGGCTGATTATGGGCCCACTGGAAACAGTTATTTCTATAGCTTTCTTCGGGGAAATCTTGGATCTTCGTTTCAGGCACCAGGAAAAGTGACCCCCTGGAACAGTTTCAACCTAAAGGCGAGAGCAAAATGCTAGTGGAAAACTCACATCAGGAGCTTCTCTTAATCACGGAAGGTCGTTTGTTTGGTTTTTTTTCTTTTTTTACTAATGATCAAGAGCTTAATAAAATAGCCAAAGTACAAATGTGTATATTACATCAGGTGTTCTATATTTTTTTCTCCTAAAAACAATGATCTGCCTCTATGCCAATGCCCCCCTCCCTAAGACTGATAAGCAGGTTCTTCAAAAGAACATTCTCAGCTGAGAGCTGTGGCTGACGCCTGAATCCCGCACTTTGGGAGGCTGAGGCGGATGGATCACTTGAGGTCAGGAGTTCGAGACCAACCTGGCCAACATGGTGAAACTGTCTCTACTAAAAATACAAAAATTAGCAGGGCGTGATGGTGCATGCCTGTAATCCCAACTACTTGGGACGCTGAGGCAGGAGAATAGCTCAAACCCGGGAGGCAGAGGTTGTGGTGAGCTGAGACTGTGCCACTGCACTCCAGCCTAGGTGAGACAGTGAAACTCTGATCCAAAAAAAAAAAGGAACATTCTCTCCAGATTAATGCAAAGACATAGAAATAGCATCATATAATACACATCATTCTACAACATCCTTGTTAAACTTTACAATGTCATAGGCACCCCTCTATCTAGTTTATCATTTTTCACAGCTGCATATTATTCCTTATTACAGATGTACCTTAATTTACTCAGCCCATCTGTGGACATTAAGGTGGCTTCCAGTGTTTGTCATAACAAAGACACCTGTAATAAACACCAGCACACCTATATCCTGACACACTGCTGCTTTTATTTCTGTATGATAAATTTCCAAAAAAAAATGAAATTACAGAGTCAGAGAGTATATGTCATTGTTATGGATTGAATGTTTGTGTCTTCCCAAAACCCATCTGTTGAAGCCCTAACCCCGGTGTTTACTAGGTGGGATCCTTGGGAGGTGACTGGGTTGCGATGAGGTCCTGGGGATGGGGTCTCCATGATGGGATGAGTGCTCTTAGAAGAAGAGAGGCCAGAGCTGAGCTGCTCTCTCTCTCTGCTATGTGAGGACACGGGGAGAAGGCTGCTGTCTGCAAGCCAGCAAGCAGGTCTTCACTGGAGACCCAAATCAGCCCACACCTTGATCTTAGACTTACCAGCCTCCAGAACTGTGAGAGAGAAATTCCTGTTGTTCACGCCATTCCTATTGTTTTAA